AAGAAGAAAATAAATCATTTTACAATGAAACTTTTTCATATTAATACAGTTTCATGAACATTGATTTTTTTTCTCCAACCTCAACCCACGATTTCATTCCTAAAGTTGATATAATCTTCATACAAGCTTTCCAGATTCATTGCATACCAAATAATTAAAAATCAAAATTTTAATAATATAATATAATAAAAGTTTGAAACGTTACCATTTTCATACTTTCTTTTATTAAATTGCCTTAAATAAAATGTATTAATAACTTCTTTAATTATCAAAAAATTGTGTAAAATGACATAAATACCCTTATCAATTAAATTTAATTAACAAAATAGAATTTTCTTATTGGTCGAAATTGGTTTACACGTTTTTTAGAATTGGATGGTTTGCATTTAAACCTGCCCCTATATATATATATATATATATATATATATATATATATATATATATAGGCCTAATCAAATGAGAACTAATTAGTTTGTGGTAACTGTGAGAACCAATATTAACCACAAATCAATAGATAAATTAGGAAATTTATATTTTGGCAATTTTGAATTAAAATATTAATGCAAGGATATTTTTGGTATTTTAAAACTTTTCTCCCTACTCTCTTCTCTCTCCGGCCACCGTCCGCCGGTGATACTACAATGGTATCACAATGCATCATAAATGTGCTTGGGTATCACATTGATGTCGTTTGTGTGGTCGATCGAAGATGTAATACAGTGGTATCACTATGCTTCTTATATACGATTAGGTATCACAATGTATCTTTTGTTTAACAGAGTCAATATTTTTAGGTATCACAGTGGTATCATAATGATATCACCGAAGAACGGTGTCCGGAGAGAGGAGAGTTTTAAAATACCAAAAATATCCTTGCATTAAAATTTTAATTTAAAATTACCAAATTTATAAATTTTCTAATTTATCTATTGATTTGTAGTTAATATTGGTTCTCACAGTTACCAAAAACAACTCAATTCTCTATTTATTTACTACAAACAACTCAGTTCTCCCTTAAATAGGCCCCTATATATATATTAAAAGATTATAAACTTTTCTTTAAACATTTTATCTTTGCTGTTGCAACACAAATACATTTGGCCACCAAATGGCTATTAACTCATGGTCCGTTTTTGAGTTATTTCTTTAGTTTTACAAGCGGTTCTGGTCCCGTGATAACTCAAACCAACCATGAGGACCATTTGTATAACAAAAAAATAACACCTGGCTTTTCGCTGTATAACAGGCAACAGATAAATCAACCCAACACCTTGAAGATAAAAACTGAAATTGAACCTCAGTTGAAATGCAGCAATCCAAAAATGACTCCAAACATTAAACCAACAAAACATCCATATATTTAATCTAATAATAGAACAAACGTAAAAGCAACAACTCCATCCAACGCTTCATTTGTTGGCTCTTCCCGACGAAGGATATCATTGATTTCTCAACATTTTACCTCCTTCAACCCCACACCAAAGTACAAAAATGTCGGGTCTGCAGCACCATCTTTGTAGTAAGCGAACACTGTTGTACTGTCATCATGCATGCTCTCCCCAACAAAACTGCATAACAACCACCCATGTTTCCACAAAATCAGTACAAATATATGGAAGAAACAATCAACATTACCATTAAAATTGACCAAGTGACTGTCACTGTAGGAGTTCTAACCTCATCAAAGGTAAAAAGTGTAAGTGATCATTTCTTGTATATAAAATTATATACTTCAAAAAATGGACCTAAGTGCACATTCTTCACCTTCAAGCTAAAAGTCTAATAAAAAAAGCAGTGACCAAGTATAATAGTAACATTGGTCATTGAGGTCATTGTCACTTACGCTTACATTGCTGATTGAAAGTCAAGTTGAAAGACTTGATGGCTGAGCAAATATATACAAACCTAACCATGCACTTCTTTGGCCAAGATAAATGTTGAAAATATGTTCTACTTTCATCTACTTTAAAAGAGCCCTAAATAAGTAAGGAATCTTGTGAATGGAGAAGGAAAAAACAAGGCCTAACAATGTCCTTCTTTGGGTAACCAATACAAAATTTTTTTTGTAATAATACTTTCTACTTTTCTGTTTCTCAAGTAGTATGATAATTAGAACCTAATCCTAATTCTCCAATTCACAAACAAAGATCTAGCCTTTTCCATGTAATATGGCCAGCCGACAGAATGCCAAACAAAAAAGGCTTCCAATCATATGCAAAGAAGCAGATGAACAAGAGACTTACAACTGGAGGTCACTGAGCTTTGAGAGGAGGTACTTGGTTGCTGCCTCAATGTTTTTCTTAAAGAACTCTTGCTTATCTGCATCAAGCTTGGGAGTAAGTTGTTTGATGTACCTCTTGATGTAAGTAACAAACTGCTTCTTGTCGAAAGGAGGTTGCTCCTACACATCATGTGTTTTCAAATGGTCAAATAAATGGAATTCTCAAAGTTTACTAGGATACCAGAATACGTTGCCACTTTTTACCTGGAGTCTAAAGGTATCAACAATGTCGACTACCTTCACTGCTTGATCATCAACACCCTCGTCTTCATCACCTCCTTCAGCAGAAGGGTTTGCACCAATGTTAACATCCACTGCTCCTTGTACCACCCACTGCAGACGGGAGTTTTCATATTACAAGTTAGTAACATGTGATTAATCTATAGTTTACTCGCAGCTTCCACATCAAAGATTTACAAAATGAATGATGGTACAAAACCAACCTTTCCTTCAACTTCCCATAGGATTCCATTCAAAATTTCATTGTAAGGAAATGAGTCCGAGAGAAGCTCGTCACCTGAGATTACAAATACAATTTGAATTAGATATGCAAGATGCTATATAATAATCAAGGCATTGAAAATAAGAAATCATTCAAGGTTGATAAAAGGCAAAGTGTTCTAATTATAACCAATTAAGGCTGCCTATGTGGCCACCTAGCCATTAAGTAGCCTAAATGCCCTAGTTAGTCGAAACTGCACCATTATGGTTAGCAATTAACCATCAAATTAAGTATTTGAAAGGTTATTCAGAATTTTTTGTTTCTGTTCATCAATCAATTTTTCTCCCAATTCAGATGGAATGTTCCCACCGTTGTTGAGTAATTATATGAATGGAATGGAATTAAGAAAACATCCTATAAAGAACTAGTTGGATCAAAATAATGTACCATCAATCTTTGTTAATAGCTTATATTGTTAAATTCATAACACCCAACGTCCTCTCTCCGCATACACTTAATAAAGTCTAATTAGTATATAATAGGTGAACGGACACTTAAAAGCTATAAAATTACAATCGAAGTTCATCAATCGTTTGGGATAAGATAAAGAAATTCTTCGGATGATTGTTAAAAAACATACCTTAAACACAAAAAATAAAATCAGAAAACAGTGGTTGCAGATAAATCACGAAAGAAGATATTCAAGAGAAAATTAAGTAAAATATAAAACTTGAAACATGGTAAGTAACAAGATGAAAAACATGAACAAAGAACTAAAAAGATGAAATCTTAAAACAAGCTAATAAAAAGTCCAATACAACCCGAACCAGAAACCAATCTTCAGATCTAAAACACAACAAATCTAAGCATCAAATAAATAGCCACCCTATGGAATTATCCGTCCAACGTATATTAAATCATCACTAGATCTACAAAAAAACAAACTAACTAATCATAATCAATGACCAGAAAACCCTAAAATTTACAATCTAAAAGCTGTTTAGTTGAAAACAGATGATGACTCAAACATGAACAATCAATCATTCAACTCAAATCAAACAGCATACAACAGATCTATGAGATTACCAGTAAGCAAGTCCTGATAGACCAACATGCTTCTCGGATCGGTGAAAACAGGGAGTGGAGAGAAAGCAAAAGGGAGAGCAAGCAGGCAGGCAGGATGCAGCGTGGGGAGAGGGTTTGTTGCGCGTAGATACGGCGAGTATATATAGGCCGAGGGTTTTGGCAGACCATCACTCTAATATCAAGTTACGAAAATAGGTCTATCTTTTCCTTAAATTCCATCCTTGCCCTTTCTAATTATTGCACATCTGGGTCGGCTTTAACTTTTGACTTTTAGGGATCTTTATCTTTTATACCTTACGCATCTTTTTCAATTCCTTTTCCTTTTCTTTTTCTTCCTCATCTTTCAAATACAAAATCATCTCATTTCTATGAACTATAAAAAGAAAATTTATAAAAATAGCCGGTTTATATAATCTTTTGTCACAAAATAACCATATTTTAGAGGTTTTATCGGAATGATCATACGGATCGCCCCCGAGGGCGATCCTCCTATTAAGTCTTAAAGAAAAAATTCTCAAAAGTCGAGATTACTGTTCATCCTCTCGTTGACCGTGTTTGACCTTGCCCCGGGGCGATCCGTACTGTACGGGGGCCGATCCGGGTAAAAAAAAAATTTTGATTGGTTTTCTAATACCAATTTCACTATAAATATCAACTTCCTTCTTCATAATTTTTCACACCTTCCCTTCTATTTCTTTTCTCATATATTTTACTCTCACAACCCTTAACCCATTAAACACAATAAACCATCACAACATTTAACCCACTAAACACAATTAATCATCACAAAACATGAAATCACGTGAAAGTGATAATGTTTGTATGTATCTTCGAAGTGGCGGTTTATTCCAAGATATAAATGGTGTTTTAGAGTACCTTCCGATAACCTCCCCCACATGTGCAATACGTTTGTCTTCGCCAATAACTTATTCTGGGGTCGTCAAACGTGTGATGAAAAAGTTAAGTTTACGTGGTCCTTTCAATTTATTTTTTAAAACGAATACGTTATATCAGTTTATGGACGACGATGATGTGGTAATCCTCCACAACGCCGATGTCATTATACGGTAGTCTATGACGGTATGTCGAAGAATGGCTTTGATATTGGTCGGGATGGTCGGTGGGATGGTCAAAGCTCGGTTTTTCGCTCGCTTTTTCAGAGAAAACGGGCGGTGGGATGGTCGGCGGTGGGGATGAATGGTCCCCCACGTCCAATTTATATAAAACGTTAAGTAATAAAACAAAATCATCGTCAAATCGGCGTATAGAGATGTCATATCATGAAAAACCGCAAAATCAGATATAATGTCTGATTTTTTTCTCCAAAAATCAACTAAATATTTTTTTTTTCGTAACCACAATTATCATCCGGTTATTTTATAACGAAAAACCGTGAAATTTAAAATTAAATACGTAAAAAGACACACTTTATGTATTTTTTCTATTTTTATTAAAAACACCCCTTAATTGTTAAATAAAAAACACAAAAATATAGGTCAAATTTCGTCAATCAGATATTATATCTGATTTACGAAACCCAAAACAGATAAAAATAATTTTTGCTTCTCCATAATTATAAAGGTTTATTTTTAAACCTTTACCCATGAAATTTGGTTCTAAAAAAGTTAAAAAATACAACCTCAATGGCGTATCAGTTTTATTAAAAATACAAAAAAAAAAAAAAACCTGGATCGCCCCGGGGCGAGGTCAAACACGGTCAACGAGAGGATGAACAGTAATCTCGACTTTTGAGGATTTTTTTTAGACTTAATGGGGGGATCGCCCCCGGGGGCGATCTATGTGGTCATTCCGGTAAAACCTCTAAATTGTGGTTATGTTGTGGTAAAGGGTTGTGTAAACCGGTTATTTTTATAAATTTCCCACTATAAAATCCATAATAACTACTACTTATGATTAAAAAAAAATCATCATTATGATTTTTATTAATTATGATTGAGATATATATATATATATATATATATATAACTGATAAAATTTATTCATTATGATTATGATTAAAATGAAATTGATATAACTAAGATCATTTGTTAACCATAAAAAATTTATTAACTATACAAACCATTTAGATCAATCATAAGTCTTTGTTAGATTAATATTGAGGACCCAATGACAATCTTTTTTTGGTCTTAAATTCACATTCATTAATGGGCAACTACAATGATAGTTAAATTTAACTATTTAAAAATTATCGTTCTTTTGTGTAATTTCTTTAATTCGATATTTTTTTATTATAGTTTAATTTATGGTTAATAACGAAATAATTTATTTTTGATTTAATAATATATTTTTTTATAATGATAATAATTGTTAAAACTCAATTATTATCATTATTATATTTTAGATTTTTTAGATTTAAAATGAGATGTTTATCTTTATTTTATTATGTTTATTTGCAGTTAGTTACACAATTTCAAACATAAAGCTTTAATATCTTTAATTTTAAGTAATTTGCATTAATAAACATTACTTAATACATAAAACTTAGTTTTTAAAAGTTTTGATCAATATTTTTATAATAAAATATAGATATATGCATATATAACAAATCTTTAATTTCGAGAGCATAATTTATCAATAATATAAAAGACTTATTCCTAAATATGAAATAAAATAGATTTTGTATATTAAAATTTAACTTGTCACTTGTCAATTCCTAATAATGATTAATAATAGCATTAAAGTAAAAGTTTTTGAGTTAAATGACCATTTCTCTTATTTAAATTGGTCTAATTATTTCTTCTTTGGTTTGACCTAAATGTCACTACTTTAGCAATATATTACGGACCTAGCTAAAGACCAAAAATTCAACACAAATATACAATTGCGATGGCCAGATATGCAATTATGACGGTCATGTCTGCAATTGCGACGACAAACTAGTTGAATTTGATATTATTATTATTTTTATTTAGCTAGGTCCGCAATATTGTGGACCTGAATATTGCAGATGTAGTGAAATTTAGGTCAACCCAACAGAAAAATAGTTGGAAGGCCAATTTAAATGAAGGAAATAGTCATTTAAGCTAAATTCTCTTTTAAGTGTAGTTACTTCGAATAATATTTGATTTTTATTTTTATTTGTTGTGTCTGTACTCTGTATTATTTTTATCAACATAAAAATATTAATAAAAAAATCACTATAATTAGAAAACCTTGTTAGCTTTTTATTTGGCATTCGTATACTTTTCACTATCAATTATTGTTATCTATACTATAGTTTAAAGCATTCGATAAAAACTTTTAAAAATCATTTTTTATGCATTAAATATTGTTTATTGATAAATATTACTTAAAATGTAAGATTATAAGTAATTTTACGTAAGAACAATTCATTAAAGCTCCATTTTTAAATTCGTGTAACTAACTGTAGACAAATATAATCAAATACAAGATAAACATTCATTTTAAATATAGAAAATTTATAATATAATTAAGATAATTATTGAGTTCTAACAGAATATTTAATTATTATTTTTATAAAAAATTATATTATTAAACCGAAAATAAATTACCCTGTTATTAAATCTGAATTAAATTATAATAAAAAAAATTAAATTAGAGGAAGTGACGCCAAAAAACGAGAACTATTAAATAGTTAATTTGATACTATTATCGATTTACTTTTTTTACAGATTTTTATGTTATTTTTAAATTGATATTTTAATTCAAAAATAAAAACATTATCATTTTCTCAAAACCACATAAAATCATATTATATCGATAGAGAAAAAGAATAAAAACTAAATATTAAAATCGAGATTTATCTCCGATGATATAAATATTTCAGTTGATTAATTTTTATGATTTGTAATAATCATTGGGTTTATAAACAATATTTCCTCTAATATTTAGTATATTATAAGTATTGAGTTTGGTGATTTATTATTTTGTGTTTTTAAATTGTAAATTATAATTAAATAGTTTAAAATTACTAAAAATTAAAAACAACATACACAAAAAGGTGAATAATTTTTTAATATATTTATTAATGAAACCTCTCTCTCTCTCTCTCTATATATATATATATATACACTAGAAGGGTACTCACGCAATGCAACGAAATACATCTTGATTTTAATTTAATTTTATTTTTTATTTCAGTCGGTATTATAGTATGGTCTTATGTGATTTTGAAAAAAACGATGATATTTTTATTTTTAAATAAAGTATGAACTTAAAAATATCATAAAAAAATTTGTGTAATTTTTTAATTCAATTTTTTTATTATAATTTAATTTAGGTAAAGTAATGAAGTAATTTATATTTGGTTTAGTAATCTAATTTATTTATAAAGACTAGAAGCGTACTCGCGCAATGCAGCGAGATACATCATGATTTTAATATTTCATTTTATTATTTATCTCAGTCGATGTTATAATATGGTTT